TTTGGGGTGAGAGGCAGAGAGGTCGGAGGAGCGAGGAGGGTCATTAGTTGAAAGTGAGAGTTCAGAGAGGGGTGGAGGGAGAGGTGTAGATAGGTAGAAGGAGAAGAGTGGATAGTAGAAGTAGATGAGTAGATAGTAGAAGACGAAATGCTGCCACCATCCATTCATGATCATTACATACAAGACAAGGAATGGAACTTGCCTGTATCACAAAATTCTCAAAGGATGTTATCATGAGTTCATTATTAGTATGTTCCCTCTGTACCATGTATCAACTCCAAACATGTACTCATTTATATCATGAACCCAGTAACCACTGAGGCTTTCTCAAATCCTCAACTCAAAGCTCTAGGGCATAAAGTTAAACACAATTTAAATAATAAATTCATAATTATATTTCACATGAAGTATCATAATATAAGCAATCCAATTAAAATGTTAAAGAGAGTCATCATCCAAGAATTCGAGAACCCTACAACTTGACTGCCCCTGATCATCACACAACATATGTAAACACGACCAAGTCACCTTAATGTTCACTCACCGAGGACTGAGTCTAAGTTGAATAGAGAGGGGGGGGGGGTTTGTAGTTGACGGAGACTCCCGCCCTGCCGGCCGACAGCCTCCCGTCTGCTCTGCTCTCCTGACTGCCGTTCTGTCTGTTCTGTCTGTTAATGCTTTATGCTGGATAGCTCTCCGAGTTTATATTGGGGAACCTAGTAGCTAACTCCGCCCACAAGTAGATAGCCTCCGGCACTACCAAGCCACTCCTTAAACGTCGGCATGTTTGAAGGCTACCCGGCTCCAATTATACGCTTAGCGGAAGCAAGGTGAAATTATCATGATCTGACCTCAGGTCACTTGGGGTCGTTAACGGTTAGAGGTGTGAGATCTCAGGCAGACAACTGGCGCCTCTCCGATCCTTGTCTGTGACTCATGTACTCTATGTATGTAATAACCTAAACCAAACACTTTTACAGTGTTACATCTCCCCTTCTCCCCGAAAATAAAGTTTTTGCAACACTGCTAAAGCAAGCTAGCTGTGTGCGACAACTTTATTAACGAAAAGAATACATCCTAGCTAAACAAATATACATCATCCTACTCTAAAAAATGAAATATGTAGACAGACGTCCATTGTCTCTGTCTGGGCGACGTCACTGCTTGGTCTTGTAGATAATCCTGTACCACATTTCTTCAACACAACTGCCTCCGTCGCTTCTCCGTCGTTAACGCACAACAACACTTGGTCAACCCGAAAGCCGTTACTACTTGAACTGAGCACAGGACCGTGGAATTCGGTTGTCCCAGCTGATCTGTAATTGGCCCTACGTCAGTCACCATGAGAGACGTATATTGGGGTTCTTCACAGCTATAGGGACTACAAGTTTCGAGACCTTCATATAGTTGCCAACAGTAGAAATCCCATCCTACTCTTCTTCCTCCCTGTTGCTCCAGCACGCCTCCTTCAGAGAGCTACTTCTGACAGCCACATCAAGTCCGCATGACACAGGAAGAATCACTCAACAGAGCAACATGCTTGTAGGAGGGGCGGCCAGTTAAGGCAAACGATCCTGTCTTGCAATTACGCTCCATGCAATGATGCTGACACCAGCAAGGGACACTAGGTATCGTGTCTCACTCAGCTTGTCTTATCTTCTTCTTCTTCTTTCTTCTTTCTTCTCTCTTCCTTCTTCTCTCTTCTTTCTTCTCTCTTCTTTCTTCTCTCTTCCTCCTCCCATGGGTCTTTGACAAGCGACCTGGGGTCCATTGGGGTCCGTCCGTCCTGGGGTCCATCCTGGGTAGACCGATGTTGGTGGGACAGACTGGAGTCGTTGTTGCTCCTCTTCCATCTTTACTGGGTCGTCTGGGGTCGTCTGCAGAACGACCTGGGGTCCACTGGGTAGACCAATGTTGACCGACCGAGAGGGCTGCATCTTGGGGTCCCCTGGGGTGGTGGTGGTGGTGGAGCCGTGACCTCCAGGTAGTGGGCTGGTCGTGGTGGTGGTGATTAACGCCCGTGAGTGTGGTACACAGCAGCCGTCTCCCTCTTTTGTATGTGCGTCTCTCCTCTCTTCTGGCTCCCACCTGTGGGTGAACAGAAAGGCGACAATATCGTGCTCCCAAGATATGTTATGTGACCCTGTAGTTTGTATAGGGTTACACAGTCCAGTCATACCGCTCTCCTCCTGGCAACAACTACACTTAAATTTTTAAAATAATCCAATTAACACTGAATGATATTGACTTGGTGGAACATAAGACAGTAACAGAGGAAAGTTAGAGAAGAGAGAATAAGGTCATCACTACCTTTAACTTGTCACAAAAAAAATCAACACTAATAGACAAAACACTAGCCTAAACTTAACTGTACCGTTCCTAATCTTAAGTACATAATTAACCATTACTCCCACCCTTAACCTACAGCCACCTACGTGACCCAGAGTGTCTCCCTAGCTTCTCCGCCGGTCAACAACCCCAAACTGTTGCCACCCCTGTGACCAGACTATCTAACGTCGAGCGTCCCCAACGTGAAGTCTACTGACATACTAAGGCTCCCCCTAGCATGCTGTACAATACCAGTACACCTCGGGTTATTGCGTTCAAATGGAGTAAAACAGTCGATCGCAATAATCTGAGCAGAACCACTACTAAATTCTTCTTAAGAACTACACCTGCCACTCCCCACTGACCTGGAGACCAGCGGTGGCTGGGTGTCCCCGTGGGACATGCGAGGTCACCTGTCACACTCAGGTGAGCTCCACTACCAACACCGCTAAGTTCCCAAATCGCCAAATCTTATTACTAACATAAATCACTACACACGCAAATTCTGGTGAACATTCCCTGAACTACACAAAACTCACAAAATCACTAAACAGAACACCAGAGAATCACTATCTCCTAACCTGAAAAAAAAACTCGCTAAACCGCGAATATTAAACACCTGTCAAGATCTCCCTGATAGCGCCTGAGCGGCAAAAAGACACGTGGGACTGAACAATGTTAAAAGAACACCACTACCTACAACATTGTTCAACACCGCTGCCACCATTGTAACGGGGGGTGGGGGAAATAGCTCTATCTTGTCCATTATTCCACCCCCCAGTTAACTAACGAGGCCGGGGGAAACAGCTCTCTCTAGTCCGTTATCCCGTCCCCAGTTAGCTAACTATTCTAGAGCACTCCCAGAGTTCCTAAGGCAACCTCTCTCGTTCAACACCTTGTAACCTAGGTATTTGACTACCTAGGTGCTAAGACTACAAGGCGCCGTCACTTGATCAGCTACCCGGAACTCTAGAGAGAACTCTAGAATACAAAATCATTGCCTACATACGTATAAGTGAAAACGAAAGGAAAGAAATGAATAGTGAAGTAATTAGTGAGGGTTTGGGGTGAGAGGCAGAGAGGTCGGAGGAGCGAGGAGGGTCATTAGTTGAAAGTGAGAGTTTAGAGAGGGGTGGAGGGAGAGGAATAGATAGGTAGTAGTAGAAGAGTAGCTAGTAGAAGTAGAAAGTAGATAGTAGGAGACGAAAAGCTGCCACCATCCATTCATGATCATTACATACAAGACAAGGAATGGAACTTGCCTGTATCACAAAATTCTCAAAGGATGTTATCATGAGTTCATTATTAGTATGTTCCCTCTGTACCATGTATCAACTCCAAACATGTACTCATTTATATCATGAACCCAGTAACCACTGAGGCTTTCTCAAATCCTCAACTCAAAGCTCTAGGGCACAAAGTTAAACACAATTTAAATAATAAATTCATAATTATATTTCACATGAAGTATCATAATATAAGCAATCCAATTCAAATGTTAAAGAGAGTCATCATCCAAGAATTCGAGAACCCTACAACTTGACTGCCCCTGATCATCACACAACATATGTAAACACGACCAAGTCACCTAAATGTTCACTCACCGAGGACTGAGTCTAAGTTGAATAGAGAGGGGGGGGGGGTCTGTAGCTTGACAGAGACTGTCTCGCCCCTGCCGGCCGACAGCCTCCCGTCTGCACTGCTCTCCTGACTGCCGTTCTGTCTGTTCTGTCTGTTAATGCCCCATGCTGGATAGCTCTCCGAGTTTATATTGGGGAACCTAGTAGCTAACTCCGCCCACAAGTAGATAGCCTCCGGCACTACCAAGCCACTCCTTAAACGTCGGCATGTTTGAAGGCTACCCGGCTCCAATTATACGCTTAGCGGAAGCAAGGTGAAATTATCATGATCTGACCTCAGGTCACTTGGGGTCATTAACGGTTAGAGGTGTGAGATCTCAGGCAGACAACTGGCGCCTCTCAGATCCTTGTCTGTGACTCGTGTACTCTATATATATTTTAAATAAACTAACCCAAACACTTTTACAGTGTTACAATATAAAAGCTCTCTGTGGATGTAAATAAAGAAAAACAAGTGACGAAACAATCGGTAAAACATCGGAAGATAAAACAGGAAGTGTCAGCGTAGTCAAGCACCAGGCGTTGACAAGTGCCAGACTCAGCCTTGCAGAGCACCTCCACCCAGTGACACGATAAATTTTCACTTATTTTCACGTTTTTCTAACATTCTGCATACAAATTACTAATTCTATAATGAGAAATTATTTGTTGTAAATTTTTTTTTGGCATAGGTGGGTAACTGGGTATGACCATTTCTCCATAGCCGCTGTCTAAGGGTTAATTCTAAATAACGTTTGCACAACAATATGTAGATCATGTAATTTAAGGGCTGACTTTATATGGGATTTTGTATACATATATGAGATATGTTTTCTTGGTTATACACACATTAGCGCTGTTATGATCTCTCTCTGAAAGTTGCTGTAAATATAAAGAGAAGCAATACATAAGGGATTTCATTTCAAGGGTCAATGTAGTCAGAGTTACATGCAAAATATTTTATTTACTCAGGAACATTAGAACTTTGAACAGTTGGTATTTTGAGGGGGCTTCAAACTCGATGGGTTAAGGGTTGACTGTGGCTGTTTGTAGGTGAGTGGACTACAAGAACAGTGCGTACTTCAGCAGCAAGCTAAAGCCCACCTAGAAGAAGAGCTTAACACTGACCTGGAGGAAAAAGAGATCAAGATAGCTACACTCCTGACAAAGGTGACACACTCTGCTTCAAGGGTTTTACAGTCTTGGTGGCCCTTTTCTTTTAGATGCATGTACATAGTGTTTTGCTTGTTAGGTATGTTGTGTTACAAGAAAGTCATGCATGATCACTCTTATTTTTAATGCCAGACACTGAATGAATGAAGAGTCAATTCTTGATTAACCGAGATAGTGAATAACCAAGAATTGATTTGTCAGAGCACGTTGTGAGTGGCTGTAAAGGCTTGAGCTGTGATTACCTTTATTCCCAATTAAACACTTGTTGGTGAAACTCTAGAGTACTATTCAAATATTTACAACATTTTCCTTATAAAATTATGTTGAATGTTATAGTGTGTGTGTGTTTTAGTTCTAAATAATAAACATTGATACTGTATTATGAACTCTGTTTATAAATATTTTAACATTATGTTCAAGAGAAAAGTGAGAAAATCTAATGTCATAAAATATTCAAATATCATGGCCACAAATCATATACATTATACTGTAATCAGATATTGCTTTAATATTAATTATAACGTTCCCTCGCTCATAATAATCAATACATAATATGTATTGATAAAGGTGTTTATCCTTCAGAGAACTGTCAGAGATTAGTTAGTAACAGCTTATGCTGAATGACAGCCTTGTTACTCTGGCAACTCTACTCAGTAACTCATCAGCTGGTGGTGGGAGCTTATGAGATGTATATGTAATTTGTTTTATATATTGTGTTGTGTTATTGTGGCATGTACCGAGTATTGTACACGAGGTATTTCTGAGCATAAGCTGCTCGGTTGCTCCTTTAGGCAATATCATGCTCCCCCCACTGGAAAACTGTTACCTCAGGCTAGGACCAGTGTGACTACATTTTCTGATGTAACTGGGATATTTTGTAACTGGCCTCATTAAGCCATATTTGGAGGAAGGAAGACACCAGAGAATTTTCAATCAAACTCTGAATGAGTGTCAAAAGTTATATTTTTCTACACTCAAACCTCCTCCAACCATCTTCTCCAATAGCTCTGCTACTTCTAACAACCAATACCAAGATGCTTGCCTGACAGTCTGCTATCAATCACCAACTGCTGACAGCACTATTAGTTAAACAGCCAGAGAAGGCCACTTTCTCCCAGGCTTGCCAACTGTGAATACCACCTCGTGCCAGTGAGAGACCTCTTCTTTCAATTAAGAGATAATGTAGATGGTTCAATTAAGAGTTTGATCTCTTGAGTGGCTAGCCTATATTTTGAACACTTGAGGTTTGTAATTACAGTACCTAAGTGTAATTACATAAGTATAGTTACAGGATGAGAGCTATGCTTTTGGTATCATTTCTTCCCAGTACTCTTTGTCATATGACGATTAGAAACTACTGACGGTTTTGACATCCACAGCCTTCTTGCTTAACTTGTTCCAACTATCAACTACTATGCAAAAGGAAGCATGGGGGCGACGAAGCACACATTGAGGTGCTCAAACTTGCCCCTCAGGAAAACCTGAATGACCTGAGACAACTCCCGCCATTCAAGCGTGTGGGTCTGACAGAACGCATGCCAATCCCTCAACGAAAAGAAAGCGCAGTCTGAAAGCCAGGAAGACTTTGGCACTCGTAACGCACTCAGTAAGGAAAAGGGGAGCCAAACTTAAAAGAAGAATGATCCATTATCGAGGCGTAATCCGGGTCTCGCAGGAGATAAGCAACAAGGGCCTTTTTCGGCGGGATGCGGGAAGCTGAAAATCTCCAGAAGTAGGGACCCTGGAGTCGAACCCGAGGGAGGAGTCGAACCCATGTCAAACTCGTACAGGGAGTGAGGGTGGGGGGGGAATAAGAAAACCCCCTCCCCCTGTAACAACAAGCCCCGCGACGAGGGTACCAACACCCAAGGGGGTCAAATGGGGCCCAAGCCCCCAATCTGGGACCCCCCCTTCCCCCTCCTGGGAAAGGGGAAGTTGTGCAGACAGCGGTGCTGTGGCTGTACTCACCTAGTTGGGTGAGTACAGCCAAACAACCAAAACAAACTACTGTACAGCGGCACTGTGGCTGTGGTGATGTCATGCTTGTTTGCTTGTTTCTGATTGGGGAGTTCTGTTTGCTCGTTCAGCTTTTGATTAGCAATTTTTCACCAGCTGTAGTTTGTTTTGGGATTCTTACCTTTCTGGGTACCTGACCTGGTAGATGACAGATATAGACCTTTACTACATTTCATTCAATATCAAACAGGAGTGCTTCGTGAGAGAGGGTTTGTATGATTTTTGTATTTAGTGCAATGCAAGATAACTGATATACATATACAGTATTAGGTTATAAAACGAGATTGAAAGTTTGATAAATTTTGCTATATGCCGAGAAGCATGAGAACTGCAGATGATGGTAATCCTTGATATTGATGCTACATTGCTCTAGAATTGATTTCTGTACTCTTTTAAACTATGAATTCAAACTCAATATTGATTTATATTTAAATTTCTTGCTAATATTATGAAGGAAAAATTGTTAAAACAAATGATTTTTTGTAATTGTTGTAGGAAAATACTTATTACACAGAGGCACAAAGAGCTCTAACCTATTGTTCTAATATAATTTCCAGTGACTCGTATGATTGTATCACTTATAAAAAAAGAGAAATGGTTGAGTACATGGAAAAAGGGCTATTATTGTGTGTGTGTGTATAATATAATATAAATGTTTTTCCTTAACACACAATTCATTTGGCTTAACTTTATCTCTACAGGTGAAGATTCTACAGGAAGGTCTTGGAGGGGATCTTAATAACACCGTTGCACCTCAAAATAATGAACACACAGCAACTCATCAGGACGAACATCTTACCAAGAGTCAAGATGAATCTGACAATATCTCATCGGGTGACACTTCATCTGGGGCAGACAATGTATCAACAGCAGAAAGTGTTTCTATGGCCGATAACATTTCCATGGCAGACAATGTGTCGGTTGCATCTCACGGGTCGGCCTCGACCTCGGTCACTCTCAATACCGAAGCCGAAGAACTCATTGAGAAACTGAAGGGTATGGAAACTTTGTTATTTATTAGGGAAGAGGTAAATAGAACATGAAACTATCATTAGTTAGAAAAGATTCTTGGAAAAGAGAAGTTTCTAAATGTAGGTTGGTCAGTCATCCAGGATAAAGTAAGAGACTATGGAGCGGTGTTTGACAATAGTTTCCTTAAGCCTCTTGCTAAATTGATGCTTTATAAATGTAAATTGTAATACATGATCTCCTACCTCTCTTCTTCACAATACTGACCTTAACCTTTTCTCCATTTTTCTCCTTTATAAACACTGCCTCTGTACGCACCTATTTGTGCCGGCAGGATCGAGCATTAGCTCTTGGATCCCGCCTTTCTAGCCGTAGTTGTTTAATGCGATGACTCCTGTCCTATTTCCCTATCATATCTACTTTTAAAACTAAGAGTTTGCTTCCACAACCAACTCCTATAGTTCATTCCATTTTCCCACTACTCTCGTGCAAAATGAAAACTTTCTAACATCTCAATGTACCAATATACTGTACTGTACTGTATTTTTACACACACAACTACAAGAAAAACCAGCATTAAATGTATTGAAATGCCAGTTCTTGGGTGAGTCTCGGAGGCTCCCTGAACCCTCTGGGGCTTACCCAGCCTTAATCACACTGATTAAGTACCATACTACTAGGTGTCAGCAGTTGCGTAGTTCTATTTGCCTACCGGGGACCACGAGCCAGAGCCTGCCCCTCTTAGAGAGTCACAGAAAGCAATGGCCTATGAACACTTTATAATTAAAGTTTATCATCTCTGCCACCATGCAAGGGAAGGCACCCAGAAAGATAGGAGAATCAAAACAGATTATTGCATGGTTAAAAGGAGACAGCAGCCCCAAAACTTCCAAAAAATTCCCCCACAATGAAAACAAGCACAATTTTGAGAAACTAGCCCCCCCCCTACTAGTTTGACCCCACCTGTCCCCCTCACTAAGGGGAAGGAGGGAGCTGGCTTGGGTCAACCAGGTCCAACCTCTTCAGTTCTATAATGATACAACACACCGCTAACCTGGGGAAAGGAGGGTGTCAGGAAGCTGCCGGGGCTCACTAAGCTGGTGTTTCATTACTTATAACATAGGTTTTCTGAGGGAAGGCCAATTGGCTCCCTGAAGCTACACCCACAGAGGAGGACAAAAAGGGGCACCTACCAGGGACGCAGCAGTACTGCAGGTATCAAGTCGAAAACGAGACCAACCTTCGTGACACACGACCCATAGCAACAACAGGCTACTGAGGACCAGGAACATTAACAAGATACCTGGCAGCGTAGACCCTGTTCGACCTCCAGAACTCCCTGTGCCCAAATATTGGCCCAAGATATTACCAAATACATCCATCAGAGTGGCATACTTAGACATTATGAGCACGAGGGTAGACGGCAAGCTGGCTAGTTTTAATAACACTGCGGACAACCTGAGAAATACTAGCCTTGGAACAGGAAACTAGGGAAACCGTATAACCCACAATATGTCCACTGAAACAGAACCGTGGCCTGAAGGTAGCGGCATAAAGCCGCCACCAGACAAAGGACATGATACACCCCTGACTGAGACAACCAAGCATCTACAATTAAAGGACCCCTCTGGAAGCCTGCTTCACATTCGTGTGAAGCTAATGCTAAATTTTGGAATGATACACAAGCAAATGGTCTCCCCCCGTACAGGACAGAATCCAAAAGGATGGCTACTACTTATTGAGAATTAGTTGGAACCCAAGAGGCTTGGCAACTCGGGAAGTGGTCCACACAGACGGACATCAGGCAAAGGATTGAACAGTATTAATGTGGGAGCTGGCAGCTCCTGGGATGCAGCCACCTGTAATGAGAGGGGTTTGAATTGACTACTTGGAAGATCATTTTATGGAGTTCAGTTGCTGCTTCATTTTTATTTTTATTTCTGAACCTTACAGTTGTCTGTTTTGATTTTTTTTACTGTTTGAATGTTTCCTATGGTGCAGACAATTATAAATAATGCTCTACTCCCTGCACCTCTGTTAGGGGCTCTGGTCTTCGATAGACTGTTAAGGATTCCTAAGGGTGGTGTGGCTTATGTACGCAGAGCTGTCTTAGTGCCGCCAGCTTCGGGGAACCACTGCTTAGACCTTCCAGAAAATGTATATTGCATAATATGAGAAGACACTTCATTTGTTTAGCCCTTGATAATACATGGTATGTGTGTGTCTTGCAGGTGATGTGGTCAAGCATAAGTCATTACTAGCACGGTGCATGGACAACATTCGAGGCAACAAGGAGCGCATTGCTCTGTTAACACAGGAACGGGATATTGCCACTGCCCAGCTTCAAGATAAGCTCAAACAGATTGACATTCTAAAGGTTTTTATAACTTCAGTTACAGTATTTGCTGTTTCCATTATTGTGTGTTGTGTGTACATTTATGAAGGGAATGTTTCATCTGTTCGGGTTTTACATTTACTTTGGTTTGTTTATATACTGAATTTTCTGTCCAAATTATCATGTTGGAGCTTATAGGTGTAATATTGTGGCATCTCAAACATTGCCACCTGCTTTGATATATCTCTCTCTGAACTGTAAGTTGTAAATAGTAAACCATCAACTTAACGAATGACTCTGACGACCAGTTTTGGTGATTAGTTTTGGTGAATTACGTTTGTTTGATTTTGTGTGCCGTTACTGTGAAGCATTGTGAGGCATGTTGCTTTGCTCCTGTCTCCTTGTTTGTTCTGTTTGTCTGTGTGCTCATCTCTAATTAGGAGAAATAGTTTGTTTAAATAACTTGTGAGGTTCCCAGTGAATTAAGAAAGTATAAATTTGTTGTTTATGGTTTATAGATGTTGTATTAGCACCTATGTACTGTTGGAAGGATAATAATTATGAGTGCATTATAGGGCAGCTAGTTTAATTAGCATCCTAGGAAAACTTTTAGACCTGCCTTTCACATAGTGGGGAGATTGTGGGGCTACAATGACCTGGAGGACAGTTGAGTGTAGCTGGTGAAGTTTTCTTGTGACCAAGAGAGAGAGGATCCTGAAATGATCACAATGAAATGGCATTTCATTACATTCAATGCTTTTTTCTTCCAGCTCATATCTTTTGTTTTTACTTCAAGTACATCTGAGTGACCATTATAGAATGTGGAAAGGCTTTTCTTGCTATCTTAGCTCTGGTCACCTTTTGCAAAATTGGCTGATAATATTCTGTCGGCTGATAACAGATGCTTTGTGTAGAGAAAAGGTTAACCAGACAGGTAAAAAGAAGTTTTTAAGTTTCACTCTTTGGCCACTCATGATATCAAGTGAGCTGATGGGACTTGATGGGACAAGCGATGATGGGACTTTGTCTCTATGGAAGTGTCGCTCATGAATGTTCTGGGCTGGACTGAGCTTTTCTGTAGTTATGTCCTATTATTTTATATATGAAGCTACAATAATGTTTGAAAAGATCTCTGTGGCACGGTTGCATGAGTGCCAGCCTACTTGACTGTTCATAAATCTTGCTTCTGACTTGGCAATTCTCATCTTATTGAGCAACCAAATATTTTGCCTGATTTTTTGTGGCAGGTAATCAATTAAACTATATGCGCAGCATTATTTTTGAACTTACTATTGTAGTCGTTCTAATTTTGGAAGTTAAACCCAGGTACCAGATGCATCTTATTTTGAAATTCAAACCCCATGTTCTACTCTAATATGATATTACTCACTTAGGAAGAGCACCTAAAGGAACTGGATTCACTGCGATCCAGCATGGAGTCTTCGGCCTTAAGTATGGCCGAGACAAAGAAGCAACTGTTTGAGGAACTTCAGGTGAAGGAGGCAGAAACTGAGCGCTGTAAACAAGCCACTGCATCACTGGAGAAGCAGTTGGATGAAGAAAGGGATCGATGGCAGGAAGAACTGAACATCAAGCAGCAAGAATTGGAGGAAAAGGAAGTTGCACTTCAGGTAGAGCATCTTGTATTATTGTGGGTGTTCTTTTATTTCAACTTCTTTTTGTGTGCATACCTGTATATATCTTTTCTAAGCAAAAGGTTATGAACAGTCTGGCACTGTGACATTCTTACATTGGCACCACAAGAAATCTTTCAGTGGTTCCTGCAAGGTTATATTAGTATGGTAGTGTTTCTGCAAGGTTTTATTAGTATTACCATTACACCCACCACCCCTTCCCCTCCCCATCTTCTGCCAGTACACATGTACCCTTCCCCATGTTCTCCTTCCTTGCTCATACATGCCCTTCCCTAGCTTCTCCCTCCCAACACACACACACACACACACACACACACACACATGCTGGGAAAGATCCCAAAAGAAGGGTTTCATTACATTCAGTGCTGGTGTTTTTATCTTTTCCCTCACTTCTGGGTTTACCTGTTGCTGGAGGATATATCACATTCAAGGCTGTAATTTGGTTTGGTCTTGGCACTGAGTATTATGTTGACATGCATCACACTATGAAGGGGATTCTCTTAAGTGAGAATCATCCAATCTTAAGGATTGGTTGTTACGCTTGCAGCCTCCTCCAGTATTTCCTCTCAGGAATGAATTGCCAGCATTCTGCCAGGGTCCATTGGTGGTGCAGGCATGGCTTGATTATATGAATGTGTTAATTAGATATGGGTTTGAAAGAATTATTATTAATGCTGGTATTTTTATGTTGATATTATTGTGGTAAATAATTATGTTGTATTTAATATCTTTTGAACTTTCTTTGTCAGGAACTTGAGACAAACTCTGCTTTGCAAGATGATCAAGAGGAGGATGCAGAAGAGTCAGTAGCAGCCATGAAAAAAGAGGTAGAGGCTAAGATCCATCAGTTAGAAGCTCGTGCTCTTGAACTTAAGGAGTCGAGAACTCAACTTGAAGCTCAGTTAATGGAAATAAGTCAAGTGAAGTTACAGCTTGAAGTAAAAGTGCAACAACTAATGAAGGATAAAGAAGAATTTAAAACAAAGACTCAATTATTGAAAAGTGACAAAGAAGAAATGGAGCAAACGATTATAACATTGAAGAGTGCTAATGCCGAGCTTAACTGTCAAGTGACGCGTCTCACAAGTACCACAAGCAATCTTGAGGAGCAGGTTGCAGAACTAACTGCCAAAAAACAGCAACTGGAAGAACAAATAGTTGATCTGGAGACAAATGTCTTGGACTATCAAAAGCAAGTGGAAGAATTAGGTCAAGTTTCCTCTGAATCTTTTGACAGGGCAAAGGTTGCTTCCCAAGAGATCATTGTTCTGAAGGAAGCTAATGATAAATTGTCTCATAGTTTGGAGGTATATCAGAATGAGGAGGTTGAACTAAAATCTGCGTTAGAGAGAAAAGACGAGGAAAAAGAAGGCATTCTGAAAGAGATAAAGGTCAAAGGAAAGATGATTTTAGAATTAGAAGCAAAAATTACTGATCTAAATGAAAAATTAAAGTTTAGCATTGAGGAAAATTCTAGACTGAATGAGGAAATACTATGTGCTAATAGAGAGAAGGAGTTAATTTGTGAAGAACTTGAAAAAAGTAGATCAAACATTGAGGAGGAGAGAAATTTACGAACAGAAGAAATTAAATGTGTAAAGTTAGAAAACGAAAAAATTGTAAAAGAATTAAACCAAACAAAATCTGAAAAAGAAACTGCCAACCAAAGACTTGCATCTCTTCAAAAAGAACTAGAGGTATTGAAATCTGAAAAGGATGAGCTTAACTCTGAACTTACAGTGTCTAAGGAAAGCATGGTTACAGTGAATCAACAAGCTCTTACAGAACTGAGTCTAGTGAGAGAAAAGATGGATAAGCTCAACAGTGATTGGGCAAGGCAAATGAAAGAAAAAGATGCTATCAATGAAGAGCTCAGTAGGAAAGTGTCTGACCTTGATCAAAGTTTGAAGTTGAAAACTGATGACTACAAACAGAAAACTGATGAATATAAACAGAAAATAGAAAGCCTAAACTTCCAGTTACAACAGAAGGAAGACAAGGAAAATGAATTTAAGACAAGAGTAGTAAACTTGTTAGAAGAGAACGGTAAACTGTGTAAAAATATTACTGATATGAAGGCAGACTTGCAGGTTAAGGAATCCGAAGCTAAGAATATTGAGAATCTGCAGAAAGAAAATAATGAACTGAGTGTTCGTGTGGCTGATCTAGAGACCGATGTCAACAGCCGTGAAGTGGAACTGACAGCAGCGGTAGAAGAGAAGCAGCAGCTCCTTGCACTGCTGGAAAAAATTAAGCAGGAAAAGACCAAATTGGAAGATGAATTGAAAGCTGCAAAGATTGAAGTAATTAAGTATAAGGAAGAGATGTCTGCAGCACAAACAGACCTCAAGAACAAGGAGGAACATAACATAAAGCTGAAGGAAGAAGTGGCTTCTTGTGCTGAAGAAAACAGGAAGACAAAGGAGAACATGGAGAGAGAATCACAATCTTTTAAAACTGAAATAAATAACACTAAAGAAAGTTACAGACAACTTAAAGAAAATTATGAAACGTTTAGTAAGGAAAAAGAAACGTTGATGACTGAACAGAACCAAAAAATTACAGAACTTGAAAGTAAGAACCTGGAACATGGACAACAATTGTCTGAACTAAAATGCAGAGTGAAAGAGAGAGAAGAAAAAATAGAAAAGTTGCTTATTGAAAAAAAATCCATGCTTACTGAACTTGGAAAGCGAGTTGATGAGCTGCAAATTGAACTTAATGAAAAAGAAAGCCTTTTAAACAAAAGAACTGCAGAGTTTGAGTTAAAGGTAGAGGAGTTAGAAGTACAGATGCATGATAGTGAAGAATCATTGAAAAATGAGTTAGAGAACAGTTTTCAACAAAAGCATGAACTGGAAAAGAAAGTGGCTGAGCTGTCGCATGCAATATTGAAGAAAGATGAAATGATGGTGAGACAGGTGAGAGAGGTTTGATAAAATAGCAAAGGTACAGTGATTAAAGTTTTGATAAGACGTATTAATAGGCTAGGACATCTGGTGAGGATTGTGTGTGTGTGTGTGAAAATAAGCTGTAATTTTAAATGTCATTGTGTATCATTAATTTTTAAAATATGTACTTTACTTTCATGAATATAACTGTGTTTGGGTGTGTTGTGTGATTATTAATCTATGGTGCATTTATATTTCAATTATCAGATTTCAACTATGCTCGTGGTGTCTTGCTTGCATTACTTGTTAGGATTTGGTGTAGGGTAAGGTCGTCAGTACATTACTCTGCCAGCCGCTGCAACCCTTAACTAACAAATACTGTAGCACCTGTATTGTTGAATACAATAAAACTACAAAAATGACCAGGACCTCTTCAAAATGCTACAATAACAAGTTTAAATATGAAAGTTATCTAAAAAGAAACTGGAAACAAGAATTGGATTTCTGGTTTTCATGCATGTGCATGCTGCTTACAGAAATATGATTTTTGTCCATGTTGGCAAATATGAAGTGTTATATTTTCCTGAGCCCACATTCCCACCAGGACAGTGTTGAATACACCAGGATCTGTTAACTTTTACTTCCATCACAACCCGTATCCTTGTTAATGACATGGTTGAGTAATTTGGGGAAGGTAGACTTTGGAAACTATTCAATCCACTATTTGCTGTAAGCCAAGGAGAACATTTCAAAAAAATAAATTCCACTGTAAGCGATGTATAGATTTGTAATTACTTTAGTTACAGGATGAGAGCTATGCTCGTGGTGTCCTGTCTTCCCAGTACACTTTGTCATATGACGGAAACTAATGGTTTTGGCATCGAACACCAAACTTAATCCAACTGTCTACTATTCTTTTTGCAACGGTGATCTTTCCAAGGTATTTTTGGTGGCTTTTCTTTTGTAATTTGAATCTATGACCTCTTGTCCTTAAAGGTGCAGTTTTCAAGAATACTTTTCTATCAGTTTTGTTGATTCGGTTACTATTTTGTATGTAGTGATCATATCACCTCTGTTTCTTCTAGCCTTCCCTTGTAGCTCTTGGTTTTCAGCTCCAGAAGTCATTTGGTTGCATATCTTTGTACTTTTTCAGTTTGTTGATGTGCTGCTTGAGTTATTGACACCATTCAGCTGCTGCATATTCCAACTTTAGAATACATGTTTCAGTTTCTAGAACCTCTTAAGTGGGACTCTGTCAGGAGCTTTTTTTAGGTCCAGATAAATGCAATCAACTCGACCATCTTTTCCTGTAAAATCTCTGTGGCTCTGTCATAGAAACTAAGTAGATCTATTTTACAAGAGCTTCCTTTTTGAAAACCATATTGTCTCTTGTTATTATATTATTTCTCTCCATGTGTTCTGTCCACTTGGTTTTATGTTTTCTAATGCTTTGGCTACCACATTTGTCAACTATACAGGTCTATAATTAACAGGATATCTTGTGGCCCCTCTTTGTTATTCTCTAGGCAAGTTACTTACACACTTTAATAATTTTTTATCTATCATGTGCTCCCTCTGCCTCAGAGTAGGGCCAAAGGGAAAGGTCCTTGACTAAAGTTTTTAAATAATCTTCCAGTTCTCTGATGGCTACCCTGCCTGATAATGACTTGCGCATCAGCATAGGCCAGCTAATGAGGTGGAACACTGAAAGAGGCATTCATTGTTGACCAAACCACACACTGGAAAGTGAAGGGATGACGACGTTTTGGTCCGTCCTAAACCATTCTCAAGTTTATTGTGTGAACCATTCTCACAGTCAACTTGAGAATGGTCCAGGACGGACCGAAACTTCGTCGTCCCTTCACTTTCTAGTGTGTGGTTTGGTCAACATATTTCAGCCACGTTATTGTGACTCCTCATCTGCACAGGCATTCATTGCTCTGAATGTTCAAATTTTATTTCCAACTTGAGCTCAAATAGCTCTCTTAGGTGGCTGAATGCCAACGACTTTACCCTACACCATGTTTCTTCATGATTATTATGAACTGTTATATCTCTTTCTGTTCAAGCTTGATATAAAAATTATATAGTTCTTTGCCTCTCTACTTAAGGTTCAGGCACGACACCATAGTTGCATATTCCAGTTAAGGTCTAATATGTTGCACACGTAGTATTATTATTATTATTATTATTATCCTGCTTTCTTCCGTTATTAAGAGCTGGGGAGCTATCACCCAAAAGAAAATGGTGAATAATATAGTTAAAGATTACAGATTTAAAAAAAATATATATACCTCAACCATTCATTATAGCAAAATACAGGCTGTCTGTAGTTGAATGCCATAACACAGTAGTCACGGGTTGTAAGTAGCCATTCACTCATGCTCTCAATATCCAAAAAAATAATGCAACTTACTCTGGGTGAATACACTTTGTTGTGTTGCTGCCTTATACTTGTCTCTACCCCTTATTCTCTCTCTTATTGTGTGTGTGTGTGTGTGTGTGTGTGTGTGTGTGTGTGTGTGTGTTATGAGCTTTAGGAAGTATTAATCTGTAGTGTCCACTAAGTTTTCTCTCCACCTGTCATCCTCCACCATTGTGATCATTACCAAGTTAATATTTCCATTACTGTCATCATATTCTTCCCTTGGCCTCATGCATTTAACTGAGGAGTTGTATATATGGCTATTACCACTGTCCTCTTGTCTATTATTATTATTATCATCATGCCTATAATGTAGACTTGTGAGTAGTTAACCATCTCTTACTAGTGTTTCTGCTTCTGCTCCCGTATTTCTTTTCTGATCAGCATTTTGTTCTCTGCATGACTGGAATGCTTTCACTTTGTATGCAGCCGATGCGTCACAGTAATGTGGCTGACGATGTGATGACCCCAAACCATGCGTCGGAACGTGCAGAAACGACAATATTTCTGTCTCCTGGACCGTTATCATGTCTTGTGATCCACACAACTTGATAATGGTCTAGGAGGGACTGAGACAATGTTGTTTCTACAATTTCATATGTGTGGTTTGGTCTTCACTGTCTAGACCTTTTCTGATCAGCATGTTGCTCTTCGCATGACTGGAGTACTTTCACTGCCTAGATTTGTTTGATTTACATTGTAGTATTTGTTCTCTGAATGATCTTTGCTAAACGTAGTGTATTTCACTGAATATTTTATTGCTTTTCACTGAATGATTTATTGCTTTTCACCAAATGTTTTGATTTTGCTGAGTTTGCATCATAATTTTTTTTGTTTCACAACAAATTTTAATTGTGTAAATTTTGTATTCAAATGATGGATTAAATTTCTCTCCTAATAATAATATCCCTTATATTATGTTCAGTCTAAATTCCTTTGCAGCTTCAATGTTTTCATGATGACTTTTCATGAAACTGTTCTTAACTCAAGTCGTAAATTGTCTGCAATTAACCTGGAGTATCTTGTACAAAGTAGTCTCTATAACCAGTTTTTCTCAATCTTTGCATCCTTGAAATAATTCTGGCTCATACTTTAAATAAACACACATGGCATTCATTGTTAACTGAAAGGAGGTGATTTCTGTCTTTGCTGTTGATACTTGTTCAATTAAAAACATTAAACACAAAAATGACTCAAAAACACATTGCATATGATTAGAATTAGCCTATTTATCACTATCTCCTGCTGAACCCTCAGTTACCTTTGGATTCCGTGGAACCCTGGTTGAGAAACACTGCTCTAGACAATCTAGCCAATCAGGTTTAGTAGAGTTCACATTTTCTCACTGTTAATGTCCCTCCTTAAACTAGTGCATCACTGCTTGTTTTCCACACACACACACACACACACACACACACACACACACACACACACACACACACACACACACACACACACACACACACACACACACTCAGTTTCTATGATCGGGCCACAGAGATATTACAGGAAAGAGATGGCTGGGTTGACTGCATCTATCTGGACCTAAAAAAGGCTTTCGACAGAGTTCCACATAAGAGGTTGTTCTGGAAACTGAAAAATATTGGAGGGGTGACAGGTAAGCTTCTATCATGGATGAAAAATTTTGACTGATAGAAAAATGAGGGCAGTAATCAGAGGCAATGTATCGGAATGGAGAAATGTCACAAGTGGAGTACCACAGGGTTCAGTTCTTGCACCAGTGATGTTTATTGTGTACATAAATGATCTACCAGTTGGTATACAGAATTATATGAACATGTTTGCTGATGATGCTAAGATAATAGGAAGGATAAGAAATTTAGATGATTGTCATGCCCTTCAAGAAGACCTGGACAAAATAAGTATATGGAGCACCACCTGGCAAATGGAATTTAATGTGAATAAATGCCATGTTATGGAATGTGGAATAGGAGAACATAGACCCCACACAACCTATAAATTTATGTGAGAAATCTTTAAAGAATTCTGATAAAGAAAAAGATCTAGGAGTGGTTCTAGATAGAAAATTATCACCTGAGGACCACATAAAGAATATTGTGCAAGGAGCCTATGCGATGCTTTCTAACTTCAGAATTGCATTTAAATACATGGATGGCGATATACTAAAGAAATTGTTCATGACTTTTGTTAGGCCAAAGCTAGAATATGCAGTTGTTGTGTGGTGCCCATATCTTAAGAAGCACATCAACAAACTGGAAAAGGTGCAAAGACATGCTACGAAGTGGCTCCCAGAACTGAAGGGCAAGAGCTACGAGGAGAGGTTGGAAGCATTAAACATGCCAAAACTAGAAGACAGAAGAAAAAGAGGTGATATGATCACTACGTACAAAATAGTAACAGGAATTGATAAAATCGACAGGGAAGGATTCCTGAGACCTGGCACTTCAAGAACAAGAGGTCATAGATTTAAACTAGCTAAACACAGATGCCGAAGAAATATAAGAAAATTCACCTTCGCAAATAGAGTGGTAGACGGTTGGAACAAGTTAAGTGAGAAGGTGGTGGAGGCCAAGACCGTCAGTAGTTTCAAAGCGTTATATGACAAAGAGTGCTGGGAAGACGGGACACCACGAGCGTAGCTCTCATCCTGTAACTACACTTAGGTAATTACACTTAGGTAATTACACACAATGTATCAGGCAATGTATCAGAATGGAGAAATGTCACAAGTGGAGTACCACAGGGTTCAGTTCTTGCACCAGTGATGTTTATTGTGTACATAAATGATCTACCAGTTGGTATACAGAATTATATGAACATGTTTGCTGATGATGCTAAGATAATAGGAAGGATAAGAAATTTAGATGACTGTCATGCCCTTCAAGAAGACCTGGACAAAATAAGTATATGGAGCACCACTTGGCAAATGGAATTTAATGTTAATAAATGTCATGTTATGGAATGTGGAATAGGAGAACATAGACCCCACACAACCTATATATTAGGTGAGAAATCTTTAAAGAATTCTGATAAAGAAAGAGATCTAGGAGTGGTTCTAGATAGAAAACTATCACCTGAGGACCACATAAAGAATATTGTGCAAGGAGCCTATGCTATGCTTTCTAACTTCAGAATTGCATTTAAATACATGGATGGCGATATACTAAAGAAATTGTTCATGACTTTTGTTAGGCCAAAGCTAGAATATGCAGCTGTTGTGGTGCCCATATCTTAAGAAGCACATCAACAAACTGGAAAAGGTGCAAAGACATGCTACTAAGTGGCTCCCAGAACTGAAGGGCAAGAGCTACGAGGAGAGGTTAGAAGCATTAAATATGCCAAAACTAGAAGACAGAAGAAAAAGAGGTGATATGATCACTACATACAAAATAGTAACAGGAATTGATAAAATCGACAGGGAAGACTTCCTGAGACCTGGAATTTCAAGAACAAGAGGTCATAGATTTAAACTAGCTAAACACAGATGCCGAAGAAATATAAGAAAATTCACCTTCGCAAATAGAGTGGTAGACGGTTGGAACAAGTTAAGTGAGAAGGTGGTGGAGGCCAAGACCGTCAGTAGTTTCAAAGCGTTATATGACGAGCGTAAGAGTGCTGGGAAGACGGGACACCACGAGCGTAGCTCTCATCCTGTAACTGACACTTAGGTAATTACACTTAGGTAATAGGAGAACATAGACCCCACACAACCTATATATTAGGTGAGAAATCTTTAAAGAATTCTGATAAAGAAAGAGATCTAGGAGTGGTTCTAGATAGAAAACTATCACCTGAGGACCACATAAAGAATATTGTGCAAGGAGCCTATGCTATGCTTTCTAACTTCAGAATTGCATTTAAATACATGGATGGCGATATACTAAAGAAATTGTTCATGACTTTTGTTAGGCCAAAGCTAGAATATGCAGCTGTTGTGGTGCCCATATCTTAAGAAGCACATCAACAAACTGGAAAAGGTGCAAAGACATGCTACTAAGTGGCTCCCAGAACTGAAGGGCAAGAGCTACGAGGAGAGGTTAGAAGCATTAAATATGCCAAAACTAGAAGACAGAAGAAAAAGAGGTGATATGATCACTACATACAAAATAGTAACAGGAATTGATAAAATCGACAGGGAAGACTTCCTGAGACCTGGAATTTCAAGAACAAGAGGTCATAGATTTAAACTAGCTAAACACAGATGCCGAAGAAATATAAGAAAATTCACCTTCGCAAATAGAGTGGTAGACGGTTGGAACAAGTTAAGTGAGAAGGTGGTGGAGGCCAAGACCGTCAGTAGTTTCAAAGCGTTATATGACAAAGAGTGCTGGGAAGACGGGACACCACGAGCGTAGCTCTCATCCTGTAACTACACTTAGGTAATTACACTTAGGTAATTACACACACACACACACACACACACACACACACACACACACACACACACACACACACACGCACGCACGCACGTCTTGTGCTTTATGCTGTTGTGCTTCTCATTTGGGTCTTTACATGTTAAATAGCTTGATTCATATTATTGTATATATATGGCAGAAAGTGGTAAGACTTACACTTTGTTAGAAACTTCACAGTGCTACTGAAAGTTGCTGGAAAATGTTCTCACATGTTAAAATCTTGGAAACTCTTGGCAAAATTTACAGAAAAATCATGGTGATACTATAAATATATATAATGGACTATATAATTATTGTCATGCACATAGTTGTATATAATTTGACATTTGCAGGCAGAAGATGCTGAACAGAAACTTAAAGATGCCCACGAAGACTTTGCCCAAAAGACAGAAGAACTGGAGACAACTTGGGAGGAGAGACTGAGGTATGTTATGTTGGTTCAGTATGTAGCAGAAACTTTTGCTACATACTATGTATCCATAAATTACTTAACGACGACATGCATGCATTCACACCTACATAATTTAAAACGTGCAACAATGAATGATTGTATACTGTATTTGGTTAATTAATTAATTTACAGGGCTGAATAAAGTATATAAATAAATATTCTCCATTATTCATTGGTCCGTCATAGAGATCAGAGTTTTTTGTATATTATTTTAATTTAGAAACAACATTGGAGAAAATCGTTATGTGGTATACAGTATTTCTTTGTGGTTGGTATTATGTGAGCAGCTGGCTGAAGACAAAGTGAAATGCCTGTATGGGACTTTTCCTTAAGTGGCATGAAATCAGGTAAGCTTTTATATAAAAAGGAACTTTCTTTCTAAGCTCTATAAGCTGAACTGTTAATAGTACGGTACTAATTCACTTTTGAACAAGCATGACATGCTTGGAAGTGTTTCTGAGCCATCTTCCTCAGTTGCCCCCAAGGCATGAGTCTGCTGGTTGCAAGGTTTGAGTCATGCTCAGTCAGGGCAGGTCTACATTCTTCACTGGCACTGTAGGCATTGTGTCAGGACATCCATGGTTCATACTGGGGCAAGAAAACACTGGAAAAGTCATTCAGGGCTGGATTGAATGTTCTACAGTGGCTCCCTAGCACCTTTAATGATCCTGCAGAGACCACTTTAAACATTTCCTCTGGTCAGAATATCCTCCTGTGTGACCATCACTGTCAGAGTAGTGGTTACCTTAAAAGGCAGACTAATTTTCCGAGCCAATTTCTTTCCATATAACTCGGACAGAGTTTTATATTTTGCCTGATAGCCACTGTGTCTAGTTGTGCTGTTGTCTGGTATTGTTTGTTTTCTATCCAGAATATCTTCTTTTTTTTTACATGAATAATACTCTTCTTTTTACAGAAATCACGGGTTTGCTGATTCTCTCAGTGCAAATAGCCGTTACATTGCTTTACTCAACATGATGAAAATATCGTATGTACAAGTTAAGCGTGGTGTGATTCAGCTACCATAACTGATGCATGCGTAGTAATGGAGGGCAGACTTAAGAGTAGACCACAGGTTCATTAATTTCATACATTGACAACATGAAATTTATGAAGCAACTAGACACCTGTGTCATTTCTAGGTACTGTACAGAGATTGCAACTTTTCTATGTTTTGGCATTTTGTTATAGAATAACTCCAGACCCATAATGTGATGAATCTCTCGTGTTCCTACTAATCTTTGTTCCCACATAACTTGGGTTAACCATTATGGATGGATGGTCATACAAATTTGCCAAACCAGCAAATTTGTATGACAAATTTGCCTTTAACCAGTAAATACTAGACTCGCCTAGAAAGGGAAACACCATTGACCTTATTTTTACAAACAATGATGAACTACAGGTAGTTTGAAACATAATGATTACAAATATATGTTATTTAGATCACAACCAAATCAAAGTTTAGATAAGCATGGGCAGAAGAACTGCACAGCACGTCTCAAATCCAAGAAGAGGAGAATTCAACAAATTTAATATTAATAATGAACCAATTATCTGGGTGCTAATAAACCAAGCCCTTGCAGAAATGAGCTGTGACGAACTTCAATGACAACAAGGAAATTAGTGAAATACTGGGGATACAGTACAATTCTGTTTTCGTAGAATCCCTGAACACATTGATGATCTATGATCCAAATGAATTCTTCATGAATTTGATACCTAAATTGAATCATATATTAGATATCACCCCTAACTCCCACTTATCTTTGAAGTAGCCGTACACAACATGCCCATGCACTCTGCACCAGGCTCAGATTCCTGGAATTCTAAACACAGCAGGATATGCAAAAAAAAACATTATGACAGTCCCAAAACAAAATTTGGAGACAGCTTAGATACTGGTGTTATCCCCGACAAACGTGAAACATCATAGATCGTGGCACTCCACGAAACGGGTTAAAGCAGACACAAAAATGTATAGACCAATAGTAATCAAATACATAAAAAACTTTGAAAAAGATAACTTGATAAACACCTCTAAAGGATACCTGATCAAGCAGGCTGTGAGTCATGTGTCAGACTGTGAGCAGTTGTGTTTACCAGTCTTGATGACCAGATCACCAACCAGAAGTCCTGGTTAAAGACTGGTCTTAATCCAGGTCCAGTCTTAATCTTAATCTTTAGGCTGTTTTAATCCCTTTAACCTTACCTAGATGTGTGACTACAGTTTGATTACTCACATGTATTACCACTCCTTTCGACTATTATTTGTTGTAGGGTTTGATTCACTTTCTAATACTTACTCCTAACTTGTGGATTATATCGGGCTTGGTGATCCAGTTCCATTCGGACTGTTCTCCCGTAGCTCTTTGCCTCAAACAAGGGGTGATCTCTTAGTTCTGTGGTTCTTAGGGGGGGCGGGGAGGTTGCTTCAGGTAGTTCATCTGCAGAGTTCTCGGGGTTTGTATCTCTGTGCCACTCACATCCAGCATCCTGGTCGACGGTCTATTCTGGTTCCTTCACGTCTCCGTGGAATGGACTGTCGACGCCACTTCCTTCCTGTGGCTTTGCCAGATGTTTGGACGTCCAGATATCAACCTCTTCTCGACGTTTGGGCGTTCGAATGGCACCTCCAAGGGGATAAGAAAACCCCCCTCACCCTGCAACAAAAGAACCTTTGCTTCAACTTTTAGGAGTTGAAGCCACTGGAAAGCCACTAATCATAGATTAGATAAAACAAACTGCCATGGATAGTTTTCATTTTGTGTTAAGAGGTCTCCGTAAATTTTAATGCTTAGATTATGACTACATATGGTATAACCAGGTAGGTTTAGGATTGGTTTCTATTACAGATTAATCAGTAAAAAGACTACATCTGTATATAAAAGATTTTGAGATAAGGTTCCTATTAATTTATAAATATGGTTTCCATTGTAATGTAATGAAGTTGAGGCTTCAGTTTGTAGAGACTGATACGTTATAAAAATTGGAAGCAAATTAGTTTATAAAGGAATTTTAAATGTAATATAATATGTAGGACAAAAATGATAGTGATGTTTTAAGTGAGGCAAGTTGTTGCAGGGAATGAGGCACATCTAGCACCGAAGAACTGGGTTAAAAAGTACACAGTTGGTAGAGCTGAAGATAGTTATAAATTTAGATATTTTAATAGTTTTCAATGTATTTATAGAGAACAGTGGTTTGCAAAATCAAAAATAAAAATACAGAAGTACATTACTGTTTTACAGGTATATATATAAAAAATAATATGCAGTGTTTCTAAAAAGTTGTATAATATAGAGTGGGTATATATGTGTGTGTGAGAATACCAGCATCCCAAGTGCAGGTCTGTTGCCAAGTTTAAACATTATGACCTTTAATGCTCGTTGGCCTCAACTTGTGGCATAATTTTATCTTGCGTTGCCTATGAGAGTACAGTATATTTAAGATGGATAACCAGACACACATTAGTCCTCATTACTTGAAGATTTAAATGTCTACTCAAATTTGTCAATCCTACACATGTTAATTTATATTGAAGTAACATGTTTGGAATTACACACGAGATGATGTTGCAAATTGAATTTATACAGTATAAAAAAATGATAAAGTTCTCTTTTGTAGATGGTTAGAACAAGTTAAGTGAGAAGGTGGTGGATGCTGAAACCATCAGTGGCTTATGCGTGATAAATGACAAAGAATATTACGAAGAGAGGTGACACGTTGAGCATTGCTCTCAACCTGTAACTACATTTAGGTAATTACATATACAGACCGATGGGAGGGAGAGGAGGATCATGATCATGACATACAAGATTCTAATGGAAATTAGTAAAATAGATAAAGAAGCCATGTTCATTGCTGTGAACAGCAGCACAAGGAAGCACAGTTAGAAACTAGACAAATGATCCATAGAGATGTCAGTAAGAACTTCAATGCCAGAGTTGTAAATAAGTCAAATGAATTAGGTGAAGAAGTAGTTGAAGTTAACTCAATAAACTACATTAAATGTAAATATACAAATCCAACAGTAGCCTTGATGAAGGTTCGAACCTATGCACTGAGTGTTCTCGTTGACTGCACCACGATATGGTCATAAGAATTGCAACCTGGATAATATTCTTACGGTCATGTCGCGGTACAGTCGACTAGAGCTCGCCTGGGAACACCCAGCGCATAGGTTCGAACCCTCATCAAGACTCCTGTTGGATTTGATCATTGATACATCACATTAATGTGATTTCTCTGTAAAATGTAAATATGATTAGATATTGTGGAAAATGAGTTATTGTATTAAATTAAAACAATTTTTGACAGTGGGGCTAGGAGCTAATGCTTAACCATGCAAGCTTATATAGGAGCGTACACAAATATGTGTATGAAGAGCAACAGTAAATATCCGAGAATATGATTTAAATGATAGAAGAAAAGGAACTGTAGATTGGGGAATTTTGTCAGTAGTGTTTTGTACTCTATTTTTCGTTGATGTCAAATAAATAGATACATATAGACAGATATGATCTATGATAGGAAGAATCTGACATATACTGTACCACTTTTAAATGCCAAAAAGTTGAAAATACTGTACATGGAAAACACAGATATTATTTTAAAAAAGCAAGAGTGGGGGGGTAGGTAGCCAAGTTGAGTGGGTTCATATCTTTTAGAGGCTTGCTAGCCAGGAACTAACTGGATTGTAATGTTTTTACTCTCCTACTTCCTGACATTCTTCACCATGTTTTGCTTGACAATGTGCTGCACGTATATAAATTTAAAGGGAAGGTCACATACAATAGTGGCCATCACTCAGTAGTTCTGATTCATGTTCCATAATGTTTCTCACTTTTTCCCACCATTTCTCATTTTCCACCGTTTCCATGTTCAGAAGAAATGGCAGGAAGATGGAAATAGTGGGTGGGGAGGTGGAAATAGTGGGTGGGAAGGTGGAAATAGTGGGTGGGAAGTTGAAG